CACCACTACACCAACAAGACCCCTGCCAACATCACCACTACACCAACAAGACCCCTGCCAACATCATCCATCTTCTCCAACTCTTAGATCCAACCGTCACCTCAAAGTTCTCCCTGTACTCAGCCTACAGAAATGTTTTGCAAAGATGATGTGTTTTCCTATAACACTTGTTTCTCCTATCCATGACTTCCTCCCTTATTGATTATCTTAGGTATCTAGCTAGTGTTGGAAAGCTGACACCATCCAACTCTGAGATATCCTCTCCTCATGCTACTGAAAAAAATGCTGCCCTATTTTCCTTTTCATCCTATTTTTCTTCTGATATTTGTTACTATACAATTTATTTATTGTAGATTATCAAATGAAATTTTTTAAGCTTATTAAGTTTATTATAAATTAGTAGAACTGTTACCAAACAAAAAACTTGTTTTCACAGAACTAGATAGGGGTAACAAAAATATTTTCAAGGAAAATAACAATTAATTTTAAGGAAATATATCTCACTTCTAAATCACAATATAAACCAAAGTATAAAATATATATATATATATATAAATAAATAAACCAAAGTATATGCCTTTCCTTGGAATTTTAAAGACAGAGTTCAGAACTGTACTTGGGTCATTTCCAGCCCCCTCCATGAAATTCAGATTTTAAAGAGTGAGATCATCATAATTAAAAAAAATTTTTTTTTAAGATAGAAAATCCTTTACCTGGTATTTATAATGGGAAAATAAAGAATATAAGCTATTCACACTAATAATTTTCCAATATCAAAACTCTATAGTTTCCAGATAAAACCTATCCCTTATACACCAGGAAAAGCAAGAGCAGCATTTTCTGGATTAATTATGAACAAAGTGAGGGGCCAGGGAGGAAGCTCCTTTAGTAATGTGCTTGCATTGGCAGCACCAGGCCCTGAGCTGAACAATCCCAGGCCTGGGGGTTGTCCTCTGGTTTCCAAATACACATGCATTAACACATGAACATGGGCAAACAAGCATGTGCGTGTGCGTGTGTGTGTGCGTGTGCGCGTGCGTGCGTGCGTGCGTGCGTGCGTGCGTGCGTGTGTGTGTGTGTGTGTGTGCACCCTGCATAGAGGCTGGTATGACAGTAACTCCAGCTACTTGATAGGCTAAGGCAGGAAGACCCCAAGTTCAAGGCCATCCTGAGTGACTCAGCAAGACACTGACTCAACAAGTCAAGACAATGAAAAGTGGTCTGGGGATGTGGCTCAGAGACATGGTGCTTGTGGGGGGAGGCCTTAGTGTCATAATAAAAAACAAAAGGAAAAGAAGAAAGACAACCTAGAAAGACTGAGTATGGTTATCGTGCTACTCAAAAATAAAAGTATACACTGGTAGATGCCAGAAATCATACCCTAACCTTGTTAAAGTAATAGAGCCCAATTTCATGACTGTTGCAACAGAATGTCACCAATATCATATAATTCCATGTTTGCCATGAGATTTTTCTACTTTTAAGTTTTATGGCTAAAATAACAGAAGTTGAAATTAATACAAATTTTAAAGGTTGTGATTCAGATCTTCAAATTTACCAAAAGTATAAAATATACAATGTTAAGTGTAAATTATCAGGTGAGTATGACACAGGAAGTCATCGGACATGCCTAAAGCAGCATTCAAAATGATTTTCTAAAGCACAAAAACCAAGGATCGGCCTCAGTCTACCCACAAATTACCTCCTAAGCTCAGTGCAAAGCTTAAGGAGTCTTAAATGTAAGCTTCAAATAACAAAGTGCAAGACATTTCAGAATTCTTATCTATAATTCCCATAATATTCATCTCACTAAGCCTTACAACAGAAACTAATCAAATCTCTACTTTGCACAGAAGTCAATTCTCTCAGTAAACTGCCAAGGGTTACTCACCGCCCATGTCTTAGTCAACCTGAAAATCGGTGCACTCTGTAAGCCGGAAACCACAGCCATAAGTGCATGAAGGTTATTAAGTTCATACAGTTTCTGAGGATTTAAGAAAAGGGGGGAGAAGAATTTTTTTAAGAAAATAAATGAAGGAAAATATAGATTAACACAATTTAGGCAACTGGTAGAATCCCGGAATTAATTACTGCCATCATTGAGAACTGTCTTCTAGGATACTCAATACATTATTTTTGGCCCACAATATAACGTCCACATTCTACCTTGGTATTTTCACCCAAGCTCTGGGAATAAACCCAGCTCTAAACGGGCAATATATTTTCCAAGCTGAGTTACGGGTTGGCGTCAGGGTTAACTGGCATGTCCGTAATGGCCATGCCCTCGGCTCTGGAAGCGGCTGCGTCCTCTGCAGCGCAGTGTTACTGGTTGTCTGCTTTGTGGTCCAAGTCACATGAAAGGGCCTCCCTACGCTGGCTTCCTGCCCAGTGCTCCCGTTATCCCAGGGTCAGAGTTCAAACTCGCCATCTTTGGTGCTCCCCTCCATTCTGGGATGTCGCTCTTTTGTATGCACACATTGAATAGCAGGTTCCACTCATTTCCCAAGAAACCAACTTTACATTTGCTGGGGCTAATTTCTCAAAATTTTGTCATACTTTTTCTACCCTAAAAGTGCTATCTAAATGTAAGCCACTTTACAGTTGTCCCAAGCAACCAGATAAGCCCTATGGTGGACATTTAACTGAAAATCCAAAGGAAGCCAATAAAAACAAAAGAGCATGAAACAGGCTATAAACTCTCACAGGCGATTATACAATCTAGTCATTACATGGGTGTGCATTAGATGTTTATTAGGGACTGAATACCACCTGAGATTGACATGCTAAAGCATGCAGAGGACCTAGAAGGAAAAGCAACTGCATCTAGACACTCCACGCCTGCCTGAGTCTGCAGCAGCTTGTGGGCATGATTGCCTCACGTTTCCGGATGGCAAGCCCCGGCAACAATGTGTCTCGTCAGACATCTTACGTCTGAATCTTTACACATGTTCATACAGAATGCTGTGGGTTCAGTCCCTCTAGAGAACGCTGATTGAAACAGGCACTAAAGAAAAGACCAATTCGAGCCTCTGAGTACAAAAAGCAGAGTGTCAGAATAAGGATTTAACAGTAATAAGGAAAATATTAGGGAACTGGGGCTTGTGACAGAAGCAAAAGCTGTGAAATGTAAGAGTGTGGACAGAAATTAATTTATCTGGTAAGCAAAATGGTTAAAACTGTATGGACAAAAACATACAAATAAAAAAAAAACTACCAAAGATATCGGGAAAAAGTAGAAATTCAGAATCTGTGAGAAAAGTCATTACTTTCTTCAGTTAAAAACTAGTGCTTACCTAACTCTCCCCTATACCATTTCTGTAAAAGCTCACATATGTGGAAGGTCAGTCCTGCCACCTAGTGCCACAGTGTTAGAACAAGACTGTGTCCATATGTTCAGGGAAATGCAGGAAGAACTCCAACTGCAATCATAAGCAGAACACCTCTGCTTTCTTTATTCCACCATCTTTCAATGCACAGGTGAGATAAGACCTGTTTATTATAAGGATCATGAAGAATGAACATGGATGTATCATCACATTTAGTGACGTGAACCTAAATTTGGAGTTGTTACAGGTTGATCTCAGTATCTTCTTGTGGAGAGCCTGCTGCTCTCTCTGGAATTCTGATTACCCTCGCAGTCAGTCCACGCTGCTCTTCCTATTACACTTCTTGTCGCTGCCTCTCGGTCACTCTTCATGCCCTGTCAGCAGCACATGGACTGTGCATTTAAACTACAGTCGAGGAGAGTGTGGTGGCTCACACCTACAATCTTAGTACTCAGGAGTCAGAAGTAGGGGGCGTAAGTTCAAGGTCAGCCCTGTCTACTGAAAGACTGTTTCAAAACTAAAGTCTTTTCTTAAGATTTATAGTTTTATTTTATGTATGTAAGTGTTTTACACACAAGTGTGTCTGTGTGCCCATGAAAGTCAGAAGGAGGCATCAAGTTACCAATGGGTCCTAGGAAGTGAACCTGGGTCCTCTGGAAGAGAGCACGAGCTCTTAGCCACCAAGTCATCTCTCCAGCCTGTGAAGTCTTATTTTCTAGATAGATGGTGGTTTATTTCATAATTAAAAATAAATAAATATAACAAAAAAGTAACAAAAATTACTATGTATTTTCCAACTTAATCCTACACGGCTTTCTCCATCACCTTCAACACAGTCGGGTATTTTACAAATTCTGTAATTTACCATACACTAACCCATCTGTAAAAGCAGGGCTGTTCAAGAACAAAGGAAAAGGCGGAGAAAAGAGGCATGCGATATACTCAACAGGCCCTGTTTCCTGACTCAGTCAAGCCACCCGAACCATTTCTGAGTGCGGGCAGGCGGGCGGGTGTCAGGACAGACCGCACTCACCTTAGCAGTCTTGATGTAGTGGCTCAGGACCTCCGCTCTTATCTTCAGTGTCTGCGCGTGGAGGATCTCTCTGACAACCCAAAAGCTCACCTGAAAAGAGAAACTAGAAAATAACCAAAGGGCCAGGTTTACCAAGATTAAAACTGACATTAAATGCTACTTGATGCTGTTTCCCATGGTTATTTTTTAAAGTGCACTTTCTCCTGCCCTTGACTATGGTTTTCTTATGACTAAAGGAAAATTCCATGAAATATAAAATAAAGGCCTCACTTAAAAAGTTTCGTGCTGCTTTATATTTCAATGAAGCGTTAACTAAAAAACAAAAACAAAAACAAAACAAACAAAACAAAACAAAAAACACTGCCAGAGGCTGACACGATGGCTTATCACTGCAAGGCTGGCGACCTGAGCTTGATCCCTAGACCTCATGGTGGGAGTCAACTCGGGTCCTCCTCTCACCCCCAGGTATTCAGGACAGCATGTGTGCACTCAAATAGGAATGCGCACGCGCGCGCGCGCGCACACACACACACAATTATACACCAACATTCATTTTAATTCATGTACCGCAAAAATAGAATCTAAGTATTTAGATATATAGTTCAAACTTTAATCTCAAAACAAGATGTGGCTAAGAGTCTTAATGAAAGGGTCGTCATGATGCCATAGCTTGTATTTTTTCACTTGAAAAAAGGACAAATAGCTTAGATTTTCCTTGGAATTCCCACCTGTAAATGGCTGTCATCATGTGTGTATAATTACATGTATTTTGTGAATTTAGGTTAATAAAAAATTATGTATTTTACAAAGTCATTATAATACCAATTTAAATATATTGAAATAGGAACTTGAGCAAATATAAGCAATTAATTCAAATCTAAGCTCCATAATCAATGACTTAATTAAATTTCATATTAGACACATTTTAAGACAAATATGATTTTAAAAATCCAAATTATTTGTCACTTCTATCAAAAGTTGTGCTGTCCATCACACACCTTGATGAATCTGGGAGGCTTTCATGAAAAGGTTATTAGCAAAGCCGGTTCTGACTTCCAGAATGAAGTCTGAACAGATCACTGAGTGTCTGCCTCAATTGCTGGAATATTCTCCCTGGAGACCCTGAGCTACAGAAGTCCCAGCACACTGGGATCCCATGCTAAGAAGACTACAATGGTCCCAGTTAAAGCTGATCATTTCTGAGGATACTGACAAAATACCCAGGGATAAGAAACAGTTCGATACAATTAGACTTAAAAAACGACTCTGGTCATCTAAACAAAACTGAGAAAATTATTTTTCAAGAAAAAGATTATCATCCAACTTTCTAACAGCAACAAACACTATAAGCCAGAAAAAAAAAAAGAAAAAGGAAAGAAAACGGAATCGAGGATCTTGTGTCCAATAAAGCTGGCTTTCACCTATAAAGAACACAAGCAAATCTGCTTTCATGCCTCAACTGAGGCACTGTTGTCTAATGAGCTACCTGAGAGCAAGTTTTGAACAATAAAAATGATGATAGGCATCAACATCAGTGTGAATAAGCTCTGAATACTTTTTCACAGAACTAAGATAAAAATAGAGAGCACTCTCTACAACACACTCCGACAGTGCAGAGCTCGGCTATCAAAACGGGCAGTGAGGACAGAGAGAGCACCTGCAAGCCTACTGTTTTCCAGTCATGGTGGTGGCTGGCTGTCAGTGTAGGCTGAATATGCCTTATTCAAAATCATTTTTAAGCTTTTGGAGTATTTGTATTAACATGAGATGTACTGGGAATGAGACCCAAGTCTAAACACTAAATTCACTTATTAAACTCAATAGTTGTGAATGCACCTACATCTTACTGTGACCTATCACACGTGAAGTCAGGAACAAAAGTCAACTCATGGTGTCACACTGGTGTGTTTTGGGTTTTTGAGCATTTCAGGCTTAGACTTTCAGATTAGGAATATTCAGCTATTACTATTCTATTCTTAAGACTGGTTACCAAACCAGTACACGGGATGAAACAAGTGGTGGGCTACAGGACTGTGTTTCTTGAACACCAAGGGTACAGAAGAAAGGACATGCAGATATATTACAGAAGAGACAAAGGAAAAACCAGTCCCAAGAACCTGAGGTATCAGTAAGTTCCTGAGATTTCAACGAGACAGCTGTAACACACCTGTCAGCTGAAATGGGACAGTGTGACAACCAAGGGGAGAGAGGAACAGGGCATAAACAGAAAACCGCCTGGTTACTATCTGATGATGATGGAACTCCAACTCACTATCTTCAGAACTACTAAATCATGATGATGATGACCTCAGACCTTTCCTGCTTCCTTTAAAATGGGTGTCTCGGTAAACAAACTACAGGTACAAAAAACACCAACCCCAAGTGTCTGAGTCACTGTTCTACTGCTGTGTTCCAAGTTCAGTGACAGACCGTCTTAAAAACGGGGTGCTGATGACATTCAATACAAGGAGACACTAGACGTTAATCTCTGGCTTCCACAGGGTATGGACAATCAGGCACAGCCTCGCCCCTCCTCACCCGATAAACAAAACTTACATGATTAAATCTTCTTGTGAAAGCAACTGCATTTGGTGCAGAACTATATTTTTCTTTTTTATTCCATCCACAACTTGAAAGCTCCTAGAAGATTAAAATAAAAATTAAGCATAAATTAAATGTAAGAAATAGCTCAGTTTTCTTATATTAGGGAATTGAAACATTAAAGACTATGTATGTTCTGTTCTGGAACAACCAATAAGAATATCTAATAAATACTAATTATTCTGTAAAAACTAAAAACAAATTTTATTAGATTATATGCATAAAATTACTGTCTAAAAGAATATGGGCAAACTTGAATTTCACAGGCAGAATATGAAGGAATGTTTTCTGAGAGATAAAGTTGACTATGCCATAACACATAATAAATACTACTGACTGTCAAACCCATTCAATCACTCAGAGGCCCACAATTAGCTTTTTCTTTCTTCCTTTTTACACTTGTATGGTGTGGTATATGTGTGTGCATGTGTTTATGGGCTTGCTAATGAGAATGTGGATATATAGGCCAGAGGCCGACATTGGGTGTGTTTCTCAATCATTCTACACCTCATTTTTTGAGATGGTCTCTCACTGAACCTGGAGCTCCCATTTTAGCCAGACTGGCCTGGCCACAGCCAGCCATTCCCAACCCCAGATTCCATCTGTCCCTTTTCCCACTACCAAGTGCTCAGGTTTACAGACAGGTGTTACTGGTCTGATTTTTCACACCAGTGGAGGGGATTCAAAGTCAGGTCCCATGAACCAACTCCCAGCCCCACAATTAAGGTTTTAAAAATCTTATCCTTTGACCTGACAGTTGTTGACTTCAGGTATTTGAAGATACCAATAATAAAGAAGTTCTTGATCACACCAATGGTTTAAGAATAGAATTCAAATGGCTCAAGATCTTGTATTAAACTTTTTTTAAAAAAAAATTTATACTAGTGCCCTCTACTTGAAATGAACCATTCTGTGTTGGAGAGATGGCTCAGCAGTTATGAACATTTGCAGGTCTTAAAAAGGACCTAGGTTTGATAACCAGCACCCATATGGTACTCATAACTGTCTGTAAAGCTAGTTCCAAGAGACCCAATGCCCTCTTCTGGCCTCTTTGGGCACCAGGCACTCAAGTGGTATATAGATGTGGATTCAGGCAAAACATCTTTCCACATAAAATAAAAAAATAAAAATAAAAACAAAATATTTGAGTCCTTTATAATTACAAATACAGGCTGCAAAGTACAGTACAATAGATGTACTCTTTGTGATACAAAAGAAATCACACTTTTCTATCACTTTACAACTGATAGTTTAAAAATACTTCTGCCTCGCTGCTTCAAAATGATGATTACCTTCATATCTTACTGAATGTTAATGAAGCACACACATGGCTAATGAATATCACCTTTAAAAATATTCTGATAACTAACTGTATGTTAATAGAACCAAATTCCTCTGAATTTAAAGGAGAGTTTCTGTCCACAGATTTCAAGTCCATCAGAGGGTTCTACAATACAGCAAAAGCCATCCAAGAAAGGAGCCACAGAAAAAAAGGAAAAGAACCCTTTGGGTAGGCAACAAAAGGAACCTGAGAAAGAAAAAGATGTCATCAGTACTCCAGATAGATGAGGAAAGCTATTTTCTCTGTCATATTTTGTTAAGAATATGTTTGTGCAGATAACTGTGTATTTCCTTGATTTCTTTCTTTCTTTTTTTTTTTTTTTCTTTTGGTTTTTCGAGACAGGGTTTCTCTGTGTAGCTTTGTGCCTTTCCTAGAACTCACTTGGTAGCCCAGGCTGGCCTCGAACTCAGAGATCCGCCTGCCTCTGCCTCCCGAGTTAAAGGCATGCGCCACCACCGCCTGGCTTTTTTTTTTTTTTTTTGGTTGATTTCTTTATCAAATAGTATAACATCAATTAAGAGAGTATCAGTGGTTATTGATTTTAATTTCTGAGATACTAAAAGAATGTTCCTCAAGGGACATTGCCACCTGTTCTAAAATTTATAACGCATTTGCAGTTGTATGTGGGATAGCTGTATCATGTTAGGTGTAATTATTACCTGGTTGTTATTTTTATTTGGAAATTAAGCATGATATGAGGAGATCTATTTTGTGTGAAGCTGACAAGGGGTGGACTTGTGATGGCTATTCTTTGTGTCAACTTGACTACATCTGTAATGAACTAAAATCTAGGCAACTAGGTATACAAGCGAGGGATTTTTCTCAATTAAATCACTTGACATGGAAAGATCTACCTTTAGTCCAAATCTGAGGTGGGAAGAGCCACTTGAATCTGGGCCCCACCTTCTGCTGGCAGCCTATGTAAAGAACATGAAGAAGGAAGCTTTGGCTCTTTGCCTGCTTGCCCTCACTCTCAATGGCAAGTCCAGTCCTTCACCGGCATTAAAGGCTATTTCTTTGGGATTCAACTTATACTGAAGACCAGCCAAGACATCCAGCTGTGTGAACAGAACAATTCCTGAATTCTTGAACTTTCCACTGGTAGACAGCCACTGTGGGCCTAGCTGGACCACAGCCTGTAAGACACTCTAATACATACCCTTTCTAGACAGAGATGGATGGATGGATGGACGGACGGATAAATTGATTCATTCAATCTTTTCCTCTAGAGAACTCTGACTAATACAACACCCACTTGGCAAAACTCACCAAGATACTAATTTGACATTAACTAAGAATCCATGTGTTAACATCTAAATAACAGGAACATTAAGAGATCCAAGAAAATAGCAATTCAAGAAAATGGCTTAAAGATAACAATTGGCCTTCCTATGGCTCAGTACATAGATGAAGTGGGGGGCGGGGGGAGAGAAAAGCAAGGCTTCCAAAAAGAGAGGACCCTGGAGACAAAGATTAAAACCAACAACAAAAACTCAAGTACAAAATACCTTGAGAGAATGATATTAGGCAACTGAGAGCAACAACTTCAGAGTGGGGTGAGAGGTTTTAGTAGGTCAAGCTGGAGGTGGAGGCCTCGGCAGGTAACACTGCTTACTGGCTGCCCCGAGTTCAATCTCACACGGTAGAAAAGCCCGCATGTTGTCTTTTGATTTCCACAAGTGCTTGTGGCATGCACACACCTAAGTGTGTGTATGCACACGAGTATACACACACTTATACTCCAGTGTGCACACACACATACACACACACAATATAATTTTTTTAAAGACAGAAAGTGGGGAGAAAGGAAGGAGGGACAGAGTAAAGTCAAAGGGGGCAGCTGGGGACGTAGCTTGGTGGTAGAGCCTATGCCCAGCACACGTGAGGCCCTGGGTTCAGTTCTCAACACCAATAAAGAAAACAGAAGATGTAAGATCTTCAAACTGAGCAACCACCACAGGAGAAATGTAATTGGGAACCCCCGATTAACTGTAAAGGGTAATCCTGGGATCTTAGAAGAGTCAGGAGCAGAGGTCAGCGAGTCCGTGAGAGGAGGGAGCAGTCAGGAGGGCAGGATGCTGGCAGTAGGAGCAGGGTGACCGAATGGGACAGACAGCAGGAGGGAAGCTCCACGAGGAAGAGCTGTTTCTGGAGTGTGAGTCAGTACAGGTCTGCGGGCACAACAGAATACCACGGGACCACACGGACATGCACAGCACAGACAGCACCTTCCTATGAGGTACCATCAAGATGCACCCACGGGAAAACTCGGGAAAGTACAGGGATTCTCTGTACAGGTTGTGCAACTTCCCATAAATCTTTAACATTTGTATTACTTTGTTACAACTTCCTATGTGCTATAGTTACCTTAAAAGCACTGTATTTAAAAACTGAGATTAAAAACCCACTTAATAGATTACAAAGCTAGAACTGCATGAGAACTCACCACTCTCTTCTTAATCCTGACCTGCATGTATAGCCGCTGCCCAGGCTCTAAGGAATTTTGACATGCTCTACCTTACCTCCCATCAGCCCCTTAATTTCTATGTGAGAGCAAAATCCCCATCTTGAGGGACAATAATACGCCACACGAGGCTGGGGAGACGGCTCAGCTGGAAAAGTACCTGCCATGCCAACATGAAGACCCAAGTTCAATGCCAGCTTCAGGCAGGCACTGCAGCAGGCACCTATGTCAAAACAATAGAGTGCAGCGGGCTAGAGATGACACGGAGGTTAAGAGCACTTCCTGGTCTTGCAGAGGACCTGGGTTCAGTTCCCAGCACCAACATGTCAGCTAACAACCTTCTGTAACTACAGTTCCAGGGGACCGGACACCCTCTTCTGGCCTTTACTGGCACTGCATGCACATGGTGTACAGACAAAACACCCATACACATAAAAACAAAGTGCAGAGCAAAGCAGAGGCCATCTGCCGTTGACCTCTGGCCTCCATCCGCTCGCACACTTAGGCAGTACAGGGATCTTAGGTAGGAGACGCCAACAGCATCTCCTAACTTACTTCACTAATATAGATCAATTTGAAAAATTATTTGTGAGAGGAAATCTTGCTACACAGCCCAGGCTAGCTCTCAAGTAAAAAAAAAAAAAAAAAAATAGCCTTGAACTCACTACAATTCCCCTGCCTCAGCCTCCCAAGTGCTAGGATTATAGGCAGGCACCACCATACCCTGCAAATGCTTTCTTTCTTCTCTTTTCTTCCTTTCTTTCTCTTCTCTCCCTTCCTTCCAAAAAACAGCTTTCAGAACCATTCTCTGACGTACAAGTCTACAGTCTCTCTGAGTTAACAACCTGGTGTACCAAAGAAGACTATTTGGTGGCTGAGGAGAGCTCAGTCAGTACAGCAAGGGCCTGTTACTCTGCATGCAACAATTTATTCGGCTGTTCTCTTTTTAATCTGGATACTGTCAGGTCATTTTACAAACTATAATTATCTGACCTCTTCGGAGCAAAGCAGAAAATTTAAAACTTCCCTCTACCTTCTTTTCTCTTTTTGTTTCAGCTCTAGGATCTTCCTACAAAAACACTATAGTATCATGCAAGAAATGTGTTTTGCTCTAACTGTCCTCTTTATACTGCAGCACACCTTGGTCCCACAGGAGCCTACACTAAAGCATCTCACTCGCACACCATAACGTTGAAGTGACTTAGTGACTCCAACAATGCTTTGTAAGGCCTA